ACAAACCGTTTCCTCCTGAATCAAGATTAGAGAGTGGAGAACTTACCCTCAAAGTGTTACTATGATCCGATTCCATCTTCCTAGCCGATCGTCTCTTCCAAAAACCCGAGCARAATTGATTTTCTCTCAAGGAAATCACTTCTCTCACAATYCTCACATAAACRCTCTCTTTCCTCTCWCAAYCTCTTCTGATTTCGSCCAAAAGAAAAGAGAAAACGCGTTCCCCACGCTTTTATAACGAAACCCTAGGGTTTCCTAAACCGCTCCCCAAACCGGCAAATCAGAAACCGAAACCGTTGGTCTGATTTTACTCCGTGGATCGACACACTTGCCCAAAAAAAATCCTCTTTATGGTTCACGGGCGTTACAGTTCTGGATTCGGATTTCCCCAAAAGGAAGCACACTGATTCCTTGTGATTAGTCAAAAGAAACGTACACAAAGAAGAAAATATACAAAGAAAGCTGCCATCAAATGAAATTATGATACGAATTGTTGTCATTCTCTTCCCGGAGAAATTTTGTTTCTTCATTCCTCCTACCTTCCCCACAATGTAATTTGTATTTCGAGATTAAACCTACAAAATCAATACCAAATCTTTGATGTTAGCAAACGATGTAACAATTATATATTTTCAGGCTATTTTCTTTCAAGCGTAAGACTAAGACTATGATTATTTTCGTGTTTAAAAACCAAAAAAGTTGACTCAATCACACGTATGACAGACGCAACCTCATATAAAAAACATGAGTTATCAAGTGATGAGACTATGAGGAATTGAAAGAAGATGAGTGTAGTGGCCTAGAATGCACATGCTTAAAATTAAGAGATAACCGAAGAAATCTTACCTGACAAAGTTGTCTAAAGTGAGTTAAGTAGCAGATAATATACCTCTCTAGTGACTCCTCTTTGTATGTGAAATACAAATATGMGAGTGTCCAGCGCTTCTTCATGCAACCTTTATAGCGCCCATCTCATCAAGYTTTGAGCTCYTATGCTGGTAAARTTAATTACGGGGAYAACCGAAATAAAAAAWTTGMTATGGAGAACAKAAACATCAAAACTAAGCTCAACTAATAAGAGAGAGATTCCTGCATTTCCATCAGTACATTACCTTACTTATTCTCATCTGCCACTTACGAAAGTMTGAGACGYTATGGTAGATACWTTMTTCTAGAAGCTCAATGCCAGATGATCTAGCCAGTTCAATCAACTCAAGGGCCTCGAGGATTCCAGTTTTGGCGAGTTTGATGTTAACAACATCAACGAAATCACCTTTTATGATTTTCTTGAGATCAAGTCACTACAGCTCTCGTCTGCTGTAACAGAGACTCTGAATCGCAATTCGAGTCACATGACTGAGACCTTCCCAATTGTCTCTGTGGACGGGTTGTTCAAAGAGAACCGGTGTAACCTTCATTTCTGGGCAAAACAATCACAACACTTAAGATTTTGACCGAGAAAACTAAGGTCTGCTAAAACCTCTAGCGTTCAAGACCTATACCAACAAAATGATTCAAAGATCTTTTTTTTAATCGTGATGCCTTTCTAGAACTTCAACAGCTTCCTATGTTTTATAACCCTCATTTGCATCCAAAATGAAGAATAAGTAGGGTGGACTGCATGTATAGCCTGGAGAACTTCTATGTCAGCCTTAGGGTTCTTCCCCACCTTGAGTTTCAAGGTTTCAAACCCTTCTTTCCTGTACTTAAGCGCCAAATCCGAAGCTTCGGCTGGAGAAACTATTGGAATCTGAACATAGACCATAACAAATATCCTTTAAATCCACATCTGTGAAAATCAAACAAACCTTCACATTTATAATATACACCAGGAATGCAGAATTAACACATGTAACCTAAATAATGTTCATAGTTTGCTAATGATTGTAATAAACTTTCCGATTTTTGCTTGCCCCACACACACAGAAAATGAAAGGGAACTGTACCAGTAAAGGCTAAGGTTAGGTTAGAACCGAACTGCTATGTCAGTGGTAATTGTACTTGAAGCTCCACCAAATAGCTTCCACAATGGCATTTCTACGCTCTTAGCTGCTCAACGATCACCGCCATCTCCATGGTATTAGAGTTGTCTATGAACCAACCTAGAAAGTAAAAACACAAGTTCAAGAATCTTTACAGATAGTTCACACCAATACATAACATAAACATATAAGAAAACGAAAAAACAAACTTATAGAGATTGGAAATTATAAATATATATAGATAAACATTAAACAAACCAATAAAAAGCTCATACCTTGATAATGAATATAAAACCTGCAAACAAAACCCTAACAACAATAAGAAACACATATCAATCTAAAAAGACGAATCAAAAACCTTGAATTTCAGTGCCAGAAAGTCTTAGGGCATACCCATTTTCAGAACCTGATTTAATTTTAGCCCTAATTAAGAAGGTCTCCAGCACTCATATGTGTGTAACCATAATGTCCAACCTTGATAATGAATATGAAACATGCAAACAAAACCCTAACAACAATAAGAAACACATATCAATCTAAAAAGATGAATCAAAAACCTTGAATTTTCAACTAAAACAAAACAAAGCAACAGATTCAAAAAAAGTGAATATTGAGATTTTAGATAATTAATTTATAGATTAAACGAAAGAAAGGTCAACTATGTCCATTAATTAATCACCACGAACGTGGGCAAGAAGACCATGCATTACGATGATTCTGCAGC